GAGTTTCATTTTGGCACAGATGTGTATGGTATATTTCCCAGTGTTGTGTCGTGTTTACTTGTGTTTAGAGTTTTGGCACAATGAGCGACGTTTTGCAAAATGTGTTCAAGCAACGGGCAAAAACTGTAAAAGGGAGTTTTTCCTTCCCACTGTCGCCAAAGTGCTTGCTCATAGGGGATCATATGATTGTTGGGTTTTTCTCTGTATCTATGAAGTGCCTTGAGGCAACTTTTGTTGTGATTTGACGCTATATAAATAAAATTGAATTGAATTATTGCTCTTATCTTTAAGGTTATCTGCTCTGTTGTATGTTAATTGCCTCTTGGGGATAAATAAAGACTTTCTGATTCTGATTCTCATGTTTTTAAGTTCTTAAATGGTGTCCAGTCCACGTATTTTGTGTCATTTTCACTTCTGAGATTTACATTTTGGACTGTTTGAAGAGACGAGGATGTCAACATGTCTCACACGCTTCCTCTTTTTTTAATTACACTCTAGTCATTAGGTTCACAACATATCACCACACAAACAGGGCCCTGTAGGCTTTGGGAGTTGCATTAGTCAGAGGCTGGTGGGTGTGGCTGCTGCAGTAGCCTCATTCACCCCATTACTGCTACCTGCCCCTCAATTTTATCTGCAGGTTAGACAGTAAGGGTCTTGGGGGTGATCCCTACATGTTAACAACATTCTAGTTTTCACACACTCATACTTACCCAAAGTAGTTTGAATATTTCTTTTTAAGGATGTCGTTCATTTCAAAACATAGCAGAAGGTGTTAAAGTAAATATGAGTCAAACAACAATGCGAAATTTAGACAGCAGACTTCAGCATTGACTACATAACTCAAAAACACAACATGGAATTAATTGGTGGGATTACATGAATGAATGACCAATTTTTAATTATGAATCAAAATATGCCTTTTAAAAAAGCACGGATGACTGTAGCTATTGTAAAAAAAACAACAAACGAGGACGTAAACGTAAAACAAGGAAATAACGCTTCTTGTAATTTTATTACATGAAATTGATTATTCTTAAAGTGACAACTCGGTTTCGGCCAAATTCATCAAACTCTAAAGTGTCAGAGCATCGCATCATCCACCACACCATGGAAGCACCAAACCAGCATATTAGAATAAAAATACAATAAATGTGTTTACAATAAAACAATTAAAAAAAAAAAAAAAATTGTGATACAGCACACAGTGCCTACTGTTGCAAATATAAAGTATTAACATACTGTACATATAAATATATACACACACACACAAAATAGAATACACACTTTTAATTACAGACGCACACATCTGGCTCAGAGGCATCTGCTGGTTTAACATGTGGCTAAAACACAGTTGTACCTGTATTTCACTGGTGTCCTGGTGGATGTTAACAGGCTCATCACATACAAACTTCTACATTTCTGAAGTGTGTGACACATTTCTAGATCATTTTTAACTTTGTTCCACAGACTGAAACACATCGTGTTCACTTCAGGGTCTTTCATTTCCTCTGGCTCTTTGCTGCTGGATGGCAACATTTTGATGTGTGGCTCCCTCTAATGGTAAAACCAGTATTACACAAATCAAACCTGTCAGAGATTTTTAGCAGACGGACCTGAAGCATTATTCTGAAAATCCTACGTCACCTTGTTCTAAAGTTATGACATTCACACCGCGCAATTTACATGTGAGCACTAAAAACATGTCACATTAGAAGGATATCTACGGTGGCCCTGAGAGACCAAAAGGACTGCAACTTCAGAAAACACTTGCAAAAAGAAAAATGCTGCAAAATGAAAAACGCTGCAAAAAGAAAAAAAACACTTGCAATTGCATTATAATACATTATAAATAATATAAACCATTATTTTTAATATATATAAAAGAAGATGTGACAAAGTAAAGCTAGTTTTCGGCTACGGGCCCAGCACGGAACCTGATCAACCAGGGACCTCTAGCTGATGTATTAGCCAGAGGTCCCTTTACTACGGTTCAGAGCCGTGGACCTGTTTTATATATGTGCGGAATAGTTTTCTATACGAGATCGCTGCAAAACCTGCAGCCTTACCTACTGTAAATAATTAATTAAAAGTTTTTGACACATTTAATGAATTAATCATTGACACATTTAACTAATTATTTATTTATTTCATATTTTAATTAATTATTGCCACATTTAATTAATTATTTAATGGTGTATTTAATTAATTCATTATGGCAGTCCTGGCATTCCATAGTTATCACTTAGCAATTTGTTAATA